ATCTCTCTCATGCCTCATAGATTTGTTCAGAAAGACAGCAGTTTTCCATGAAGTTGAGGAAGCGTTCGAGTTGTGTGCTTGAGCATAGTTGGCGATCATGCCATGTCATCATGTCATAGCGCAGAATGCAGCAATCAACCTAGTGGAAGGGGGTTAACTTTGATTAATCTTCATGCTCTGACACGGTACAGATCAGTTAGTGAGAGTCCAGACATCCTTTGGAAAAAGTAAACCAGTAAAATAAGTGGGCTCTTCATTTTTAAAATGACTTTTTTTTTTTTTTTACAATTGCCATAAAATAGCTCTTTTGGCACAACATGCAAATAGCTCATATGTGTTTTCTTTTTTTGTTAAACAAAAAAAGAAAATGATTGCATAACATCTGTCTGATACCAAAAAGTAGATGTATTGATTCACATCCCACCAACATTTTCTGTGCTCTGTTCTTTAGTACCAGAGGAAGGTAGAGTTTAGAGATTATGCTGCCCACAGACACAATGCAGATGAGACTACAGGTCGCTAACTACAGGAATAACCAGCACTGACAGCCCACCTGTGTGTCAGAGTTTGGATTGCATAACAGCACACTAATTGGGTCTCTAATGAGATTGGAGGGGTTTTGAATCAGTAGTTAAGCCTGCACCCAAACACAGCTCGGGCTGCAGCTTTGACTTGTGTCAAGGAAAGCCAGTACAATCGAATGCGTTTTTAAAGCTACTTAGAAATGAGGTCACACGAGATTCCCAAGGAAGAGCTGCAAATACTCTTTTAAAATAAGAAAAAATGCTATTTTCAGTAGACCAATTTCGACTTTAGACCAATTTCAGTAGACCAATTTAGACCAATTTGTTCAGTAGACCATTTTACATTGGTCTACTGAACAAATTTTCAAGAATCTGATATTTTTAAAGTCTCAAACCAGCAGCTTAACCTGATGGTTTGCACAACTCTTATCTAGTGCGCCTGAGAACTCGGTTATCCCTACCGAAATTAAGACAAATCTTTACATTCTGATGAGTCAAGTTTCTTTGATTGTTTGTGTGTTCAGGACGTCATCAGCGCAGAGTTCATCCACAGGCTGAAGGCTCTGCTGCACAGGGCTTACCGCCTCCAGGAGGAGTTTGAGGGAGTGTTGGGGATGTCAGAGCCCTCATCCCACAGCAGCAGCCAGGGTGAGTCACTGAAGCATTATGCAGTTCTTTTTGTCCAACACAGAAAAATAGGCACAGCAGTAAAAGACAGTGTGAAGCAAAGCAGGAAGCCAGTGCGCATATATAATTTTGTGTGTGTGAGCGGGTGTGTTGGAGGACTTTTTTTCTTTTCTTTTTTTAAAAATTGTAAATATATGTGTGATGATTCCTGTTCTGTTTCTTACACAGTGGCAGACATTTTGTCCAGAGAAGAGTTAGATGACGCCTGTCTGAGGGACAGCATCAGCATCGCCTCCACTGACTCGTTTGTGTCTGCAGCTGAGGTAACAGAAGCACCAAATCCTCCCATTAACACCTCTGGAGTTCTTCTACAGTGCTTTTTTTGTCAGTTGTTTTCTGTAAAGGGTAAAAAAAAAAAAACAGTGCTTTTGGTTGCAAGGAAAAGTATTTTAAAAAAAATTAAAAAAAATACAGCATTTAGAAAAAATAAATTTTGGTTCAGTAAAAAAAAATCTAATTTGGATTTCTTTCGAATTTACATTTCCTTCATTTTAAAGTACAAAAAAGCAGGAAGGAGTAATTCAAACATACGTTTTTGTCTATATAAATTCTGAATTGGTTTCTTTCTATTTCTAAAACATGAAAAACATACACGACTTGTCACAAATCAGGAGATCCTGCTTCGGTTAGTTAACCACAGCACTTTGTTCACAGCCATGTGGGTTGGGAACAAAGCACGAGGAGAGGAGGTGAAATCAGGAAAGGTCTTAAACTAAAACTGTCTGAACCTTTAAAGCTCCGACTGATTCGCAGCAGGAGTTTGACTCAGGAAGCTTTACTCTTCCTCTGGGTTCACCACCCGGTGTTTACCAGTTCTCTGTTTATCGCCTTTACTTATTAAGTCTCAGTGGGGGCTCAAGGTGCTACTGGCGCACTTGACCCACATATCACTAAAATAAACTGGTTCTTAAGAATCACTGGTGGTGTGTTTACAGAGTGTACAAGCTAATTTTACGCACCAATGACTTTAACGTCCTCCCTGCAGAAAGATAACAATGCTTTACAAGGATTGTGTGTTTAAACATCCTTTTAGAAATGGCAATTAAATTATTAGCAGTGGGGTTTTTTTCTGGCCTGGGCAAAGTTTATGCATTAATATTAGTTTTTTAATAATAATTCTTAATAAAAAATGATGTTTGTATTTCACCATTTCTTGTTTTTGGTTTCATGCAGACAATAAAAAATTGTGAATAACAAGATTTTATGTACCCTTCATTGTTCAGTCCATGATGCCTCTGCTATCTGTCTCCACCTCAGATGTCCGAGCACAGAGAGCTGAGGAGTGTTTTCACTCTGGGACGTCACCCTTTGTATGAGGAGGCGCTGAAGATGGCTGAGGATGGCAGTATCTCCTGCAGAGTGCTGCGGTAATCAGACATTAACACACGTCGTATAGAAGACAGTCAGGGAAACTTGTACAGCGTTGTGATCGTCCCACTGTGAAATTTGTTGGCATGACAGCATGAACTTTCTTATTTTGTTCTCCCGATCGTCTGCTGGCAGTTAAATGAGAGGTTTCTCTTGATTTTCACTCTCAGAACTGAGATGCTGGAGTGTCTCGGGGACTTGGATTTCCTGGCTAAGCTGCACTGTGTGCGGCAGGCGTGGCAGGTACGGTTCAGTAAGATGGTGCTCACCAAAGACTGTATGCTAAGATGAATGATAGTTTCCACTTCTGATGCACAATAGTAAAACTAGAATATTGTGACTGAGTTTGCCTGATGTGGATGTTTGCTGAAGGAGGGGGGGAAAAGGGTCGGGTAGCTTTATGTTATCTGATCTGTTGTGCTTAATTCAGTTCAGTTTTATTTCACACAACAGTCGCGCCATGGCACTTTATATTGTAAGGTAAAGACTAGAGATGGCACGATACCACTTTTTTATGTCTGATACTGATATCATAAATTTGGATATCTGCCGATACTGATATAAATCCGATATAGCGAATTTTATAATCAATAAAATGTTGTTTTTTTTTTTAATATCTTGCTGCATTTTGTATAAGTTCATACTCAGGTTTAAAAAACAAAACAAACTAAAGCTATTCTGTTATACCTGTATGCAAGGTGCTACTGGCGCACTTGACCCACATATCACTAAAATAAACTGATCTATGAAAATATTTTATAGATCAGCAATACTGATCAATCTAATAAACTTAAACCTGCAGCATACTCACTATTCCGGTATTTTAAAGAGTACTTAGTGGAAATATTAAGCAACCTAATTAATAGGGTCGCCAACTCCGAACACAAAATAAATAAATAAATAAATAAATGGGGAACCACCCCCCCACCCTCTGCCTCATAATGCTTAATTGATGTACTCAACTTTAATTTAATACACATGTAAAAGAAAATGCACAGAAATCCATAATTTTTCTACAATAATTAAATAGATTCAACATCGTTCTTCAACAGAATTGCAGACTGCACAGATGGTACCTTCCCAAAGGAAAAAGCACTATTGCTTAGTAGGTTATAAATTTGACTTAATAGTTCCTATATACAATAATGGATTTCTATACATTTTACATCAGATGAAAACTTTGGTTGTAAGATTCAGATAATTATTTATTAAAAGCAAGACAAGACAGAGAAAACCCCAACAATCAGACAAACCCCACCATGAGCAAGCAGTTGGTAAGAGTGGGAAGGAAAAACTTGCTTTTAAGAGGAAGAA